ATAATGTACTGATCCTATACATCCTACAGGCACCACATCTAGCCTGATTATAATGTAGTGATCCTATACATCCTACAGGCACCACATCTAGCCTGATTATAATGTAGTGATCCTATACATCCTACAGGCGCCACATCTATCCTGATTATAATGACTGACTGGCACCAAATCTACCCAGATTATAATGTACTGATCCTACAGGCACCACATCTAGCCTGATTATAAATTACTGGTCCTATACATCCTACAGTCTCCAAATCTAGCCTGATTATAATGTATTTATACTATACATCCTACAGATATCAAATCTAGCCTGATTATAATGTACTGATCCTATACATCCTACAGGCACCACATCTAGCCTGATTATAATGTAGTGATCCTATACATCCTACAGGCACCACATCTAGCCTGATTATAATGTAGTGATCCTATACATCCTACAGATATCAAATCTAGCCTGATTATAATGACTGATCCTATACATCCTACAGACATGAAATCTAGCCTGATAACAAATTACTGATCCTATACATCCTACAGACATGAAATCTAGCCTGATAACAAATTACTGATCCTATACATCCTACATGCTTAAAATTTAGTCTGATCGTAATCTACTGACTCTTCGGATCAGGGTGGATGTTAACATTGCCTTTTCATATATCTTTCTTTGAAACCCTAATCGGGATAACATTTAGTTGATCAATATCTAATTGTATATATATCTACGTTCATTTAAATGCATTTGCCCTTTACCATTATTCTCTGTATATTTGAAAGGTTGAAAGTAAGGAAGTATTGAGATATATGTGTAGGTATATTTCATTGAATTCCAGCCTCCAATATTAATTGAAGATTGCAGAATGATTAGCATTTCCATATTGATTTGTACTTAGCTTGTTTACTCCATCAATCAATTATGACACGGAGGTTTCTATAACAGCAGCTGAAACGTTTCGGCGACGCATTGTGAAAAACTCTCGAGATTTCCCATCACAAATAATTTAAGAACTATTTTCTGGTCACTTAATTTATGCAGTATTGATTCTTTTATACAAATGTAAATTTTCCTTTTTCAAAATGCTTTATGCTCTTTTCGTAAGTAATCCATACTGCTCTTCATGGCAACACATTATTTGTATGAACCAACCGTTGTATTGAACACGCTAACATACATGTACCGTACCAAGGCAATTTCATATATTCCACGTGATTAGATACAGCGCTTGATTTATTGCACACAAAATGGATTTTTTAGATACATGTACATTGATAAGGGCATAATTACTATAAAAACTAATAGTTAAGTATTAGAATTATTCAACGATGAAATAGGAGAGAATCGATATACACATGGGGTCTCTCCACCAAGACTTGCGTAACCATCACTCTTGATATGTTCCATAAGAATACTTGCCCGGGTATTCTCAGGTGTCTACACAAGGCAAAATAACTTGCTTCCTACCAGAATGACCATCCACTACTAGGGGTTAACTGAGGGACATGAAGAGGCAGTCTGTTATTGTAAACATTTATCTAATGGTTATCTATGAAATATTGAAAGATCAGAGAAAAGCGTTGTCTATGAAACCTACGAAAATATTGTTATAGTGACAGAGGTCGTGTACGCATATCAGCTGTAAGATAACTAGAAATCACTTATTAGAAACGTCAGGATGTGTTGATGCCAGGTATGAGACAATAAATAAAAGTCTATTTATCAGTATTAACTGTGGAACTAAGTGAAAGGTCATGTGATAATGCCAGGTATGAGACAATAAATAAAAGTCTATTTATCATTATTAACTGTGGAACCAAGTGAAAGGTCATGTGTTAATGCCAGGTATGAGACAATAAATAAAAGTCTATTTATCAGTATTAAATGTGGAACCAAGTGAAAGGTCATGTGTTAATGCCAGGTATGAGACAATAAATAAAAGTCTATTTATCAGTATTAACTGTGGAACCAAGTGAAAGGTCATGTGTTAATGCCAGGTATGAGACTGCTTAGCGATGTATTTTTACTAAACTAAGATGAGATGTACTGATGATCCATCCATGTTCAGTAAACAGAATTAGGAGGTACTGATCAGACATGTCCGTTAAGGTTAGGAAACCTTGTTCTGAAAGTCATTAGAAGTTTTTAGTGTTAATTGTTTCACATTGAGGCACATGTCACTTGTCGGAGTTAAATATCGACATTTTGTAGACTCCATGTACGTTACTGTATAAGCTTCCTAGTGTTAGAGACGTTGGCCATCGATCGCTGTTACTTATTCCACATTTCTAATGGATAATCCCGATTAGAATAAAAGCTATATACGGTTTCATAAAAACGCTGCTGGCTGACTGGTATTAGGTTCAGATAGCCCATAGGTATCTTACGAGAACACTTTGGAAGACCTATTGGGCCTTTTACCTAGTCATACAAAAACACTTCGACTTTCTACTAAAATAATGACTATGACTACGTATCTTGGACCATACCGTATAATCAAGGTAATTTTCACTGGTATAATAATAATTTATCATAATAATTATTATATATTTTTGCGATCTTTTAATAAAACGGTCGAATTATATTTCAAGGAATGAACAACTCGTGATCTTGATGTAAAGAACATCAAATACACAAATGCCGCATTATTTCCCAGATTCAACAGCGAAAATATCATTCCCGACAAAATAACCTGCTGTACGATATATACACAAATGTACTTTGTGTCGTATAAAAGCTTAACTGCTCTATAAGTGAGAGATTAATGATACACTCGCAACATTGTACGGTTGATAAAGAGCTTAATTCTAACCAACTAACTTTATGTTATGTAATTCTCGGGATAAAGGAACATGTTGAGCATAGTAAATCGTTCTCATGATTTACTATACTGTTAAAAACCTATAAATGTAAATCTAATTTGCTGTTTGAATTGAAAACAAATTTGGCATAGCCAATGTTCACCTGCTTGTTATTGACTCCAGGTACACTGGGTGCCTAGTTCATTCCAGAAATACTGTGTACACAACCTGGCTACATGTTTCAAGTTCCTATTGGCAATCTCGAATGTTTACATTATTGCTGTTTATATCGTAAATATCCATGAGTAGATTATCCTACCCCTATCAAAGTTTGTATTTAAACACTCAAGAAACTGTCCTTACAACGTCTACAAATGTTCAGCAAGCACTTACAATGCGTATTATCTGAAAATTGGAAAGGTGCTTGAAATAAACTTCAAATTATGTTTATAGAAATATACATTTTAAAAATCTGTTTCACTTTTGTTTGTTGATGTGAACTATTTATTTCTAACTATTTGATGATATGTGAAGGATATTTAATAGTGTCTTCAGTAATGGCAAATATATTTTACAAGACACCGTATGAGTGAAAGATACCAAAATGTTAGATACACGAGTAAAATGATATTTGCTATTACTGGGGATATCAAATATCTATTACATGTTCACAAGCAAAATAGCCGAATCAGGAGAAAGCTGACTAGATTTCTCCGCGAACACTACTCACTCATTATAACTTCGCAGTACGCGACAAAATATAGTTAGTTTTAGCAATCATTTGAAATACGTTAAACGAAAATTAATTTTCATTGTAAATTTATCTTTAAATTTTCATATAAAATGTGACTTATTCATGTCACCGACACACAAAATTTGCAGTAAAACGTTCACAGAGTTTGACCAGTGCATAGTAATCACGTGGCTGAAAATAGGGCGGCAACCTACAGCTGTCACCGTTGTTACGTATTAGCTCCACATTCAAGACGTTTGGTTGGGGTTTGGGTTTCATGTCTAGTAAGATCATTTGTGTTGCATTGTTTGCTGACTTTTCATGTAAATGAAAGTTTACCATGGAATTGAATGTCGTGTTACCAGAAAACTACGCTTTCATGTTTCTGATTTTGTGATTTTTGTCTTATGATTTATGATTTGTCAATGTTATAAGATGATCTGTGTTTTCTCTTTTCATTGGTGTTCAGAAGTGTTATTTTTCACGTTAAGAATGACAAACATGTGTTGAAAAAAAACTTTTATCAATGGAATATTTCTCCATATTTCATTGGCAAAAATGTAGTCTGTAGGATAACTAGTATGAATCTGAAGTCAGTGATAACTTTACGTCATTGTTAATGATCAACAAGTTTCACTGTTTCGCTTCCATGTAACAATATGTCCTACTTGAATATACTAGATTATTTACATCTATGTCATACATAATGAACACATTTCTATAAATAGAGACATCTTGAAGAATCAACGACGTTCTCTTTGGTTTATACAGTGTAAGATATACAATGTAATATAGATACAGTGTAAGATATACAATGTAATATAGATACAGTGTAAGATATACAATGTAATATAGATACAGTGTAAGATATACAATGTAATATAGATACAGTGTAAGATATACAATGTAATATAGATACTGTGTAAGATATACAATGTAATATAGATACAGTGTAAGATATACAATGTAATATAGATACTGTGTAAGATATACAATGTAATATAGATACAGTATAAGATATACAATGTAATATAGATACAGTGTAAGATATACAATGTAATATAGATACAGGTGTAAGATATACAATGTAATATAGATACAGTGTAAGATATACAATGTAATATAGATACTGTGTAAGATATACAATGTAATATAGATACAGTGTAAGATATACAATGTAATACAGATACAGTGTAAGATATTCAATGTAATATAGATAATGTGCAAGATATACAATGTAATATAGATACAGTGTAAGATATTCAATGTAATATAGATAATGTGTAAGATATAATATGTAATATAAAACATTTGAATGTTTACAACTATACAATACATCTTAAATGAAATACATGACAAACTATAGATGATGTAATACAAAAATGGGTATTTGATACTGGCAAACGAAAGCAGTTATATTGCTCTTTATGTTTTATAAGTAAAAATGTATTATTTCTTATTACAGTTTTGGTGGCCGAAGTTATTAAGTTTTACTTTCCGAAGATGGTGGATCTTCATAATTACAAGACTGTCAGTAGTACCAAACAGAAAAGAGACAATTGGAGTCTTTTAAACAGGTAAGTCAAACAGCGGAATAGAACAAGATTTGCCTAGCCATTGTGGAAGGTAAGTATAGAAACGTGTTACCATGAAATATGATTTAATTATATAGTGAAATGTTTATATATCTTTAGCGATGCACTTTTTGTTATATTTGTAACTCTCTTCAAAAGTTGAAATTCGTACATAAACATACAGCAATTAATTATTTAAGAGATGCCATAACAGATGCCACCAACACGTGTATGTCAACTTGGTTGCCTTTGATAGGAGGGGCTAAATAACAATAGCATATTGACGAGGTCGTTCCAGTTAAAATCTAGGGGAAGCAACTTCTAAAGCTATTATTGTATTGGCATGAACTTCATCAGAGACGCAAATTTTACACGAATAGGTACACATCTGAGAGAGCGAAGGCTTTGTAGATATATTTGCAAGGTAACCATAAAACATTGATATTCTACTGAAATGTCAACCTTGTAACTAGGATATTATCGATTTTCTATAAGTGGTTTGGTTTTTAAGTATTTGGCAAATGTAAAATAATCAAATATACAAATAAGTAATCGATATTTCCAAATGGTGCACATAACAAACATGTTTAATTATTCAATATCACATTGACTATTAATGACATTCGCTTTATATGTGATTTCCTGGAACGTTTGGTACATCAATGTTTATGAAGTAGCGATACTACAGTCCCCGTGTATACCGACCGTCTACATAGCGGCGATACTACTGTCCCCGTGTATACCGACCGTCTATGTAGCAGCGATACTACTGTCCCCGTGTATACCGACCGTCTATGTAGCAGCGATACTACTGTCCCTGTGTATACCGACCGTCTATGAAGTAGCGATACTACTGTCCCCGTGTATACCGACCGTCTATGTAGCAGCGATACCACTGTCCCCGTGTATACCGACCGTCTATGTAGCAGCGATACTACTGTCCCCGTGTATACCGACCGTCTATGTAGCAGCGATACCACTGTCCCCGTGTATACCGACCGTCTATGTAGCAGCGATACTACTGTCCCCGTGTATACCGACCGTCTATGTAGCAGCGATACTACAGTCCCCGTGTATACCGACCGTCTATTAAGTAGCGATACTACTGTCCCCGTGCATACCGACCGTCTATGAAGTAGCGATACTACTGACCCTGTGTATACCGACCGTCTATGTAGCAGCGATACTACTGTACCCGTGTATACCGACCGTCTATGTAGCAGCGATACTACTGTCCCCGTGTATACCGACCGTCTATGTAGCAGCGATACTACTGCCCTCTGTATAACGACCGTCTATGTAGCAGCGATACTACTGCCCACGTGTATACCGACCGTCTGTGTTTCAGCGATACTACAGTTCCCGTGTATACCGAACGTCTATGAATTAGCGATACTACTGTCCCCGTGTATACCGACCGTCTACGTAGCAGCGATACTACTGTCCCCGTGTATACCGACCGTCTATGTAGCAGCGATACTACTGTCCCACTGTATATTGACCGTCTATGTAGCAGCGATACTACTGTCCCTGTGTATACCGACCGTCTATGTAGCAGCGATACTACTGTCCCCGTGTATACCGACCGTCTATGAAGTAGCGATACTACTGTCCCCGTGTATACCGACCGTCTATGTAGCAGCGATACTACTGTCCCCGTGTATACCGACCGTCTATGTAGCAGCGATACCACTGTCCCCGTGTATACCGACCGTCTACGTAGCAGCGATACTACTGTCCCCGTGTATACCGATTGTCTATGTAGCAGCGATACTACTGTCCCACTGTATATTGACCGTCTATGTAGCAGCGATACTACTGCCCCCGTGTATACCGACCGTCTATGTTTCAGCGATACTACAGTCCCCGTGTATACCGAACGTCTATGAATTAGCGATACTACTGTCCCCGTGTATACCGACCGTCTACGTAGCAGCGATACTACTGTCCCCGTGTATACCGACCGTCTATGTAGCAGCGATACTACTGTCCCCGTGTATACCGACCGTCTATGTAGTAGCGATACTACTGTCCCCGTGTATACCGACCGTCTATGTAGCAGCGATACTACTGTCCCCGTGTATACCGACCGTCTATGTAGCAGCGATACTACTGTCCCCGTGTATACAGACCGTCTATGTAGCAGCGATACTACTGTCCCCGTGTATACCGACCGTCTATGTAGCAGCGATACTACTGTCCCCGTGTATACCGACCGTCTATGTAGCAGCGATACTACTGACCCCGTGTATACCGACCGTCTACGTAGTCAGCGATACTACTGTCCCCGTGTATACCGACCGTCTATGTAGCAGCGATACCACTGTCCCCGTGTATACCGACCGTCTACGTAGCAGCGATACTACTGTCCCCGTGTATACCGATTGTCTATGTAGCAGCGATACTACTGTCCCACTGTATACCGACCGTCTATGTAGCAGCGATACTACTGTCCCCGTGTATACCGACCGTCTATGTAGCAGCGATACTACTGTCCCCGTGTATACAGACCCTATATGTAGCAGCGATACTACTGTCCCCGTGTATACCGACCGTCTATGTAGCAGCGATACTACTGTCCCCGTGTATACCGACCGTCTATGTAGCAGCGATACTACTGTCCCCGTGTATACCGACCGTCTATGTAGCAGAGATACTACTGTCCCCGTGTATACCGACCGTCTATGTAGCAGCGATACTACTGTCCCCGTGTATACCGACCGTCTGTGTAGCAGCGATACTACTGTCCCCGTGTATACCGACCGTCTATGTAGCAGCGATACTACTGTCCCCGTGTATACCGACCGTCTATGTAGCAGCGATACTACTGTCCCCGTGTATACCGACCGTCTACGTAGCAGCGATACTACTGTCCCCGTGTATACCGATTGTCTATGTAGCAGCGATACTACTGTCTCACTGTATATTGACCGTCTATGTAGCAGCGATACTACTGTCCCCGTGTATACCGACCGTCTATGTAGCAGCGATACTACTGCCCTCTGTATAACGACCGTCTATGTAGCAGCGATACTACAGTCCCCGTGTATACCGACCGTCTACATAGCGGCGATACTACTGTCCCCGTGTATACCGACCGTCTATGTAGCAGCGATACTACTGTCCCCGTGTAACTACTGTCCCCGTGTATACCGACCGTCTATGTAGCAGCGATACTACTGTCCCCGTGTATACCGACCGTCTATGTAGCAGCGATACCACTGTCGTCGTGTATACCGACCGTCTATGTTTCAGCGATACCACTGTCCCCGTGTATACCGACCGTCTACGTAGCAGCGATACTACTGTCCCCGTGTATACCGACCGTCTATGTTTCAGCGATACCACTGTCCCCGTGTATACCGATCGACTATGAAGTAGCGATACTACTGTCCCCGTGTATACCGACCGTCTATGTAGCAGCGATACTACTGTCCCCGTGTATACCGACCGTCTATGTAGCAGCGATACCACTGTCCCCGTGTATACCGACCGTCTATGTAGCAGCGATACCACTGTCCCCGTGTATACCGACCGTCTATGTTTCAGCGATACTACAGTCCCCGTGTATACCAACCGTCTATGAAGTAGCGATACTACTGTCCCCGTGTATACCGACCGTCTTTGAAGTAGCGATACTACTGTCCCCGTGTATACCGACCGTCTATGAAGTAGCGATACTACTGTCCCCGTGTATACCGACCGTCTATGAAGTAGCGATACTACTGTCCCCGTGTATACCGACTGTCTATGTAGCAGCGATATTACTGTCCCCGTGAATATCGAGGTCTGTGAAGTAAGGATATTACTTTTCCCGTGAATATTGGTATTTTTTGAAGTAGCCATATTTGTCCCTGTGTATATTGAATTGATATCGATATTACAGTCCCTGTGAATATCGACTTCTGTACAAAGTAAGGGTATTACTGTTCCCGTGAATATTGATTTGGTTATGCAGTAGCGATACTACTACTGACGTGAATATTGATTCGTCTTGTGTTTTTACGACCGATAAAGTTAATTATTGCCGCTATCAGACTGCTTTTCACTAGCATTGTTTGTGTGTTGTTTACACTATCATCAGCTCATTCGCTGTAATTGATCTTTTCACGTTTATCTGTCCACACAAGGTGGTCAATGAAACCTGATGGAATGTGTTAGTATGAAAACATTAAAGACATACTGTGTACAACACAAATGGGCTTTTAGATCGATTCAATATTAATATATTATTCTCATCGTTTAATCAAAGGACCATTCCATCAATCCAAAAATTAACTGAGGTGTGGACACCATACAATATCCTATCCTGGACATAGGTCTCATGTCAATTAATCTTGACAGGCACCATATCTGTCAGCTAAATTATATTGATATTGACAAAAAAATGTAAACGGACAACATATTATTGAATACATATGCTGAGATTTCATCTCCAACCAATGGTGAATGTATGTCGCAGCTGATTCGATATGTCAAGGGCTTGTTCCTAGTATCATGATTTTCTTGACGGATGACGTCAACTGACAGACAAACACGTAACGCATGCTTTCAAAGATGCAGTGTGATAGTGATCTTGTTGAGAATATTCTATTATTTTTTGCGATCTGAAGCTGGACGTTTTGATGCTCGATAGGTTGCCTTTTGACTCCGTTGTTGTATACATTGTTGTTAATTAAGAACGGGACATAACTAACTTTAATTTTCATGGCTTGTGTCTTCGATAAAGCAGAAGACGCTTACACCTCTGGAACACCTTGTATTATTGCCATTGTACTTTTATCTGGAGTCTGTGGAAGTTTTTCTGTTGTTCAGGTTTTGCCCTAGTTTTAATGACTTTGAGTTTTGATTAAGATTGTGTTGTTATGGCCGTGTATACACGTTGTGTGATGGCCTTTAGACTTTTCTTTCTCCTATAATACTGACTATTATTCATTCAAGTTATTGCTTTCTTTTGATGACAGACCGATTAAAAACTTTTGTTTCAGACGTGTCCTTAAACGACTCGGTATGGACTTGTCTGATGACGTCATACGGGCGTTAGCTAACGCCGAGAATCATGTAATAGAACGGATTTTGATCATACTGCGGATGCAGATTGACAACTTACTGACAAGGCAAGGTAGGAGCCGCCGAGAAGTAGATTTAGAATTTATGAATTCCAAGCAACAAAGCGAAAACGAAAAAACACCCATCGTAAAAGACGTTACAAGCCCCAAGGAAAACTCTAAGCATGCAAAGGACCCTAATAGTCGTAAGTAGAAGATATATTACCTCCTACAAAACTCGGACAGGAGCTGATAGTGTTTTCCACTATATTCTGGCCATAACCACCCCTCATTCATTAACAACAGTTGTAGATGTAATCCATCTGGAATCTGTCATTCTGTTCTGGAAACGACTACCTGTATTTACAACATAAAGGTGTTGGTTCGTTCTGCCTTTTGCATAACCTGCTTAGATTTCTCTATAACATGCTTACGGACAATGATGATTGTGTACAATATTCGGAGTATCGATGAACCCCATTTGCTATAACGCTATTGCATTCAACTTTTCTTTCTTATTTAACCTCATGTGTTTTCATTTCACTGTGTTCCTCTGTTTCCTGTGTGAACTGATCTGTCAAGTAATTTAATGTTGTTTGGAGTTGTCAGAAGACTATGTGTACTACAGGATATCATATCAATTGGATTATTTCGATTATTAATTCCTCCTTACTGGCAGCAGTATCAATTATGATGTATCTATATTCTATCTAATGACAGATTTCATAGGCTATGAAATGGCTAAATCTGTTAGATTGATTAATTTGAACTATGCCTGTTTGCTTTTTGTCGCGTAACACAGTGTCCTGTAAATACGTTGGTGTAGTTATGTGAAAATTGCACTAGATAGTATTGATATAAATATTCATTGAATCATTATCAGAAAAATGCTTGCCAAAAGTGTACTGCATGCAGCAAACATCGCTGAAGCATCCGGCTGGTACACAGTAATAGTGTGAATTAAAAAGTAGTTTCAAACGACATCTTAGTAGAATCAAAAGGAAAAGTCATAAGCGAATAAACAATTTATGAATAAAAAACAAATTTGGTTGTACAAAAGGAAACAATTGAAAAATTGAAATCCTATATTGTTAAGTGGATTTGTATCTTTTACATGATAATATGGTGTATATAGACAAATGAGAAAGCAATATACAGCAATGTTTGTAACTGCTTGGAATGTTTGGAACTACGACTGTTTCAAAACAATTAAACTATTGTTTTGTCTATCATTAGTCATTTACGGTAATTTTTTTTATCTAAATTTGTTATTTATATTAAAATTATAATGATTAAAGTATATTATAAGATGTTAAATGATAGATATTACGTAATACATTATAAATGATTATTTGAAAATCGTACATGTCTTAAACTACCTCACTTTTCAATGTATTCATTAAGAAAAAATACCGATCTTTCTGCACATATCTAGGTGTTATACATTGTATATCAAAACTTTTACACATCTCTCCCATCTAAAGAGAATCCCCGTGCAGTACCCGAAGTTCTTACATTATAGTTCAATTAATTCAATCAGTCCTTCTGTGATATCAATTCATTTATATAGAAATCTCAATCTTCATATCTTTCTTGGTGGTTATGAGATTGCCTCCGGTTTGTATCTTACAATCTTGACATTTGAAATCTTTCTTTTACAATCCTATAAAGTTCACGCATCTCACCTTCATAGGGAAACATTCGATATGAAAGTGTCAACGCATACATTTAAATATGTAAACTTTTGATTGTCACTACATCCTGTAATTCATATCACAAAGGTTTACACGTTTTTATTTTTAGTAACATTCACACAAAGGTAAGTGGTGATAATATGTAAAGGGTAAGGTGTTTCGCAAAACATTTACATTAATATGTAACAATTAAAAGTTCAATAAGTGATTTAACAGTTATACATGTATTTACTGTTACCTGTTACATAATTTTCAAGTGCATGCTGTATTGAAAGTCGGTGAGACGTTAATGATTTCTTCGATACATTGTGCACTAGTAATAACATGCAATTCTTTACAACAGCAGCAGTATATAATGCGTTTAATACGCACGAGGAACATGTCATAACCATTCACAAAAATAGAAAAAAATACTTCAAAGATTAATGGACTTTTATATGAATAGGATATTTATCTTATTCTATTTTTAGCCGCCATTTGTATGATTATCATAAAGTTTTTTGCATTTTATAATTGTAACTGATAAATATTTCATTTGTCAACAACTAAGATACATTACCTACATGAACTTTGAAGAAGTCTTCCGTTACATACAAATTCATACTGTTAGACGTGTTGCAGTTAGATTTGTTGAGTAAACACTAGATAAAGACAAAAGTTTTCTGATCTCATTATCGACTTCGTCATCACTGTATCCACTGCTGAACTATTTTATCTGGTGGCCTATTGTAAACAAACTAGGTATATTCTCCTCTCGTTGACGATATATGATATTGCCTGAGGTTCTTGTAAGGTTGTACATGGATTTTATAAGATGACTACTAAGACAATCATTTCTCTGTTGTTCGTAAGGTTATTAACCATATAAAAAGACGATCATTTTGGTAGTTTGTCCCAAAATGATCCCGGCTGTCGGCGGGCAGGAAACCATCAATCAATCGATATATCACCCAATCAGTAATCATATTGATTGGACGTCAAAACTTAATATTGATGTAGTACACGTGTGTATAAAAGATGCAATACTTTCCACGGACATGTTGTTTTGTTGAATCCTCTTTTCAGAGTTCATGTGCTAACTCCCAGAATAGCAAGCTCTGCCAAATCCTTTGTTTACGTAGGAATATGTAGCTGTAATCAACAAAATATGGGTAATATAGACACACTACGAGTAATCTGAAATACAGTGTTAATATGTATAAGTCATTACATAAGTCTTCACATTACAACAAAAGTTTAAACCTACAGGCATACCGATGTGAATATTATTTCAAACGTTTGTAGATTCTGTAGATTTATGTATTTAACAAATGTGGCGCTATTACTCCCAGATATCACAATCTGCAAACAGTAATAGGCATCAAGTCACATTATACTCACATTGGGTTTAGACTTTTAAACGGGAAAACTGGCAGCTTTGCAATGAATACAACATGTCTATTCTGGTCATTTTCATGGATTGCTTATATGACAAATATCAAAAGGGTATTGTCTCAATCACTAGAAAAACTCTTGCTGTGGTGTACCAGAGGTGCATTTTCTTATCAAGTTGATGGGGCTTAATAACCATATACTATTAACAAGGGTATGATATCAACAGTAAATCTGTGTTACAACTGCAAGATTTAGCAGAGTTACTATTTAATCCCGTGCCGCGTATATCAATCCATAAAGTAATGCAGAGAATTATCCGTCAGATCCTCTAGATTATACAACAGAGAATTAGGTCTTACCAAGAAAATTCGTGCTGCCTTTAAGACCAAGAATAATGCATCTCATAACCATAACACTATGTTATGCGAAATACAGGTACACTTTTCTCTAGTTTGCTAAAGTTAACGACAATGCTTTCGGTCAACTGCAAATCAGTTGTGAGTATCGATCCGTCTTCACATGGTTTATCAAAATGAATTATTGAAATGAAATGAAATTCAGTCCGCAGTTTTAAAAGCAATTTCATATCGACCATTTGTCGAATTCCGAAGTTGTGAACTCATTGTAAAGTAAACATATCACTGATCACAAAAGTACATGAAATACAAAGGAATAGGGTTAGGGTTAGGATTCGGACTCTTCATATGGAAATAAACTTATATAAACTTACAAAAATATGGAATGAAAAGTATATTATGCGGTTATTAACATATAAAAAATGCATATTTGTCTTTGTTGCTACATTCTTTATCAAGACACTTGATAATGAAGTTGAAATTAAAGAAAGCAAATATTTTCATTATGCTTTGAAAACATGGGAAGTAACATGGAATACAAATTTTGCAATATCAAATATGCCGTTCAATAAAACTACCTTTCCTGATGGATGGTATTCATTGTGAGTACGACTTATGAAACTTTCGCTTGAAAGCTTCTTTCTAAATCAATGAACAAAGCCATGGACTTTGTATATATTTCACTTTTTGTTCCTATTTCTGTTACAGAAGCTCTAGTGCCCATGGGGGCAAAGTCAACGGGGAGGACATCGCCTTCAAAATCTCCACGGAAGTCACAGGCAAAGGGGGATAATTCATATACAAACCGACCGTATGTATAACATGTTTTAGTTTTTGTGTTATTGCATATTATCACCTTTTTTTCCCGAATTGATCCGTAGAAAAACTTTTATAGTTGATTTCTATACAGATTGACCGCGTAGGAAGGCTGATAAATGACAAGCGCCTCTGTTATATTGACTTAACCCTAAGCCTTGGTACTCTGTATGTAAACGTGGCTGAATGTAGCTAGACTAGTGTAGTTAAACATGTAAGAAATCTGGCTGTTGCGTTATAACAGACATCTATATAGTGTGTCTGGAAACGTGTCGGAATACTTGCTACATCAATTGTGTTTTATACTGGATACTGCTCATTGAAATGAATAAAACTAAACTCAGTTAAAGGCAAGCTCTTCTGAAATTTATCAAGAATATTTTCTTAGTCTTTTTAGCGCGTGTGAAATCATAATTTAACCCTTGCTTTTTTTGAAAATTAGCTTTATAAACATTTCTTAACTCTATCTTGGTCGCATGGTAACATGTCTTAATGTTGGTATGAGCGCTTGTAATCACTTCCTAGATCCTACGTAATTCTGGTGTATTTTAAAAGCGTATTTAGTCTATACATCCGTCTGAATAGGTTTTTTGTACTTTCTCGTAAAAGTTTACATATAAAGCGCTTTTGGCAATTGGCTGGAAACTGACAAACAAATCGCGAATCAACCATTGCATTCCAGCAGTAATCACTCAAAATCAATTCATTATGGATGTGAATATTATACATATACTTCAAGGTCAGTGGAAGCCACCGATATTCAATATTTAATTACTCCCCAATGCCTCTGAACTAACGTTACCAAGGAACTAAAGCCCAGAGTTTTCTGGTAGCTTTAGAATTTAATAACCTCATGGAAATATAATTAGATTGCGAGGTTTGTGCAGTTGCCAGTTCAAGAGGTTGAATGCTTAATTATACATTCAGAAGGTAATGGTGTTTTATGGTAGTGCATCAGTATTCGCAGTACTGTGGTAAGCTAACTTACAAATGGCACACCATACTAATACGTCACACACATATACACTACCGGGGAATATCAATTTGTTTTAATATTTTTGCGATGTGGCAACGGTTAACGTGTGTGAAATTCGAGTATTTGATGACATATGAGAAAATAATGATTTGTACTCAAGAAACGGGCACATAATTTGTGGCGATCTCGAACGTTGATGAGAGTAGCATTTGTCTAATGATATCAAAATCTAGTTTTAAAGTCAACAAACGTGTTACGCCGCTGCACATAGTCAAACGGTTACTTCATTGACTTATGTAAAAGTGCCACGGTAGGTTTTCTTTCTATGAACATTCTTTGTTTATCAACATCACATGAACATTACGCTAAAAGCAATTTAACTTATACACTAGTTGCATATCGAACCACTGCAGTAGTTAGTAGTTAACGTCTGTTCCAAGCTTCCCTTTTTCTGTTTAGTCTCTTTTTGAACTTTGCAAATATTTTATTGTAAAATTCCTTATTCTTGGTTAGTGTACTAGAGCCTCTGGCCTTACCCTCTGAAAGATCATCACAAGTGAAGTCGCCACGACGAATTTACCTGAAGGGGGAAATCCCACACAACCACCCGGACAGATCGTAAGTAACAAGTGTGCTTCTACAATGTACTGATTTATCTTGGAGACATTCAGGAAGTCGTGCTCAAACTGCATATGGGTATCGTAATATGTTGCATTCGAGTATCAGTAGCACAACGAAATGATTATAAATTGAACAAACCTTGACTTTTTTTCCAATTTCGAATAAGATTTCGTTACATATGTGATGAATATAACAATAGCTGTCATATTTGACATTTGGAAATTTAAAACCAATAACATTTCCTCCTGTATGAATATTTCATTAAGTAAAATATGTCAAAGTACACCCGGAAAGACCCCTTAGAATGGTTGACAAAGTGTAATATTATTAAAATTACATGCGGTATGTCTGTGGTACCTGCCTTCTCTGATGTATGTACTAGTCAACTTAGCCCTTTAAACGGTATGTCGCTTTGTATAATTTGATTACAACAATGATATCCACACGATGTGAACAACTTCTGTTTGAGGTAGAATTGACATTAGATGCATAGTTCTGAGTAGGTCATCTGTTTATTTATCTAAGGTGTCTGAAACAGGAAGTTTTACGTTAATTCCATTCAATGTTCTGTCGAAATTACCACCTACAGCCGGAAAACCATATTTATTGTATGCATACAATTGCAATGTGTTTCGTGCATTAACTCGGCAATAGCATTATATCACAGTTTACAACATAGTTATCGAGTGTTTGAACAGGATGTTTGGAGTATAATAGATCCAGACGAAATATCAATAAAAAGCACGCTGAAACTGAAAGTACATATCCTGAATGTAATCAGCATGAATTCGGGCAAATGATTCAGATTAATGAAATGGGATTAAAAGTCGTGTTTCCCCCTATGAATCGCATGCCCGCTTACTCTTCAATGGCTGTTAAGTTTACGATATGACATTACATTGATGACATAAATTCGGCTTTAAATTTTCATCATCTCTCGTTCGTCGTTATTCTCAAGTAATTTGTGGCGGTCATTCACTGTTATATATGTGATATGGTATGCACGTGATGGAAATATTGCAGTGGTTGGTTTCAAGTAGAAAACATTATGCCAGGATTACAGCAAATAACATGTACATATAAATTAAATAACAGATAAAATGTAATTATACTAATTATATGCCTTAAATTCTTTGAATATATAACAGTCTCATTAGTTTTATTCTGAAATGTAACATTAATGCAGTATTTTGCAAGTTTAGAGTCTGTTTATCTTTTCTGTCCGGCATTCCTTATAAGACACTGCAACCATCAACGATAATTTAACAATCTTCAGAATGACAGTTTAGTATAAATTTACTCAGGATTTACACATTAAAACAATTAATAAAAAACAAAATGTTTGAGGTAATATGAAAGGGGAATGCTTGAATACCCAACACCCAAAATTAAATTTTCTTCTTTAAAAGTTAACGTAATTCAATGAAACCGTCTTTTAACCAAGCTTGTTTTTCAATGATGTCAAAGTCTGTGTTGCAAAACTGCATATTACTTTAGAAATGTATAGTATACATAACACCTCAATTACTCTAAATAGTTGAAAGTGAGCCGCGTCTAATTTAGTTTGTTAATGGGGATATATAACTTTCTGTTAGTCAAGTATGGATTAATTTCAGCGCAGTCTTACTTGAAATACTTGATGGAAAAGTTTATCTAAATAAATTCTTCTGCAGTTAATTAATACTTATATTTCTATCTTATAGCTTATAGCTTATTTCTAAAACTGTTTTATTATTTACAAGAGTATTTTCCCTGAAATAATCCATGCCTTAATCTGCGACTGGCTTATATTCAAGACTTTATTGTACCTGATAATCTCACAAGGGGAGTTATTTGAAGCGCCCTGTTGTGAGTAATAGAATGTTAAACTTGAACGTAATTCACAACTGACGATATAATAAGGCTTTAATATATTCATACATTTCAGTCGCTATTTTTCCACTGACCGTTTGCGCGCATTTCATATAAGGTAAAGGTGATTTTATATCAAAATCAGCATTTAGAATTAAACTTAGGTTTCTTATAACTAATTCAACAATTTCATTGCATAAATCAGATTAATAGTTAACCTAGTATATCCTATAAATTATGTACCTATAACTCTTTCAATAACAAAGGTAGGGATATATTGTGGTAACTGAAGTAAACTGGGCCCCATCTTGGATGAAAACTGCAAAAGAGATGCGATTTACTGCCACAAAATGTTATTGATAATAGAAATCAGCTAATGCACAGAGAAGTGTCGGTCTGAAACAACTACAGTAAGGTCGTTTTGTGGTTTTCATATTTTCTCCGACAGTATCATGTGTCCGCGTCGATAACACAGAAGGGACGCGGAATTTTCAAACAGATCTGTGTTTACCCCAGGATGCTTTCTCACTTTAAAACCTGCTATGACTTTCTATGGGCGTCTTTTTTTTATTTTATATAAGCATTAACATTTGTGTTTGGGAAAAATATTACTAATATGAAGGGTTACCTTAACGATTCATATTAAGACCCATTTCACCTACATGTATATCTACTGTGTACATAAAGAATAATCATATTTGATAATTGTCCGACATACATCTCTTTACGGAGATCTTCACGTGTAAGTGAGAGCTTGGCAAATTACTGTCACATCGCTTTTTCACTAACACATGGTGTTTGATTTTTTTTAAAAATTATTTTTAGAACTCCACATCTTTGCTACGCCATTTTTTAAATATCGTATCACTGTACTTTGTAGTAGTAGTTATCACCTGTTTCTGGAATATATTCCCATATACAACATAAATAACAGGCTTATATTATTTTCTGCGATCACTTGTTTTAGATATATAGGTGTGACTCTCCACATTGGTCTGTATTTATCGAAATTCGAAATGCTGAAAAGTGTTTATTATCATGATTTCATTTAAAATGAGCTAAGGTAACTTTGTACTTTACTTCATTTGTGATTTGTTTTGTATGAATGAACTTTTCAGTTGCAAATCCAATATCTATAATGTTGTTACAAAGTATTTACACCTTTGCTATTATAATAAAAACAACAAAGTGTCCCACTCCGTTAATACGTCTGAATGTCTAATTTATTTAGTCATAACAATGTCCGCTCCTTCGGTCTTATTGCTACTCATAGGATGGGTTGTCGTTTCGTTTCTAAGCAATTAAATAAATAGCTAACGTGGTTGTCACCGACAGCATCGTCGCAGATAAAGGTCAAATTCAAGTATTCTCTTCCCAAAAAGGTATTGATTCTATCGAAATAAGACCTTGTAAGTTTATTGGTTATCAGTCCACACTGCTATCGAAAATCCTACATGTAATATCCCGGAACACTATCTTGACTGACGCATCAACATCGACCAGTGGAATACAGGTTCAAACGTAGGAATATTCTCATTAAGAAATGTAACGTTCACAAAAGTGAGACTGGAATTAGCAGTCTTAGCATACAATCTCATGGAAAATTGCCCATGTTGATACATTAACGATGTATTAACACCGTGTCAAATTCGTCTTTAATTATATAATGGTGATGTGATATTTTGTTCTGTCATTGTTGTAACGTACTAACAACAGATGTTTCCTCTGTGATTGGTACAATATAACAGTAGATGTTATCGTCAACATATAGCAATTTATCTTTAATAAGGTGATTCTTTGTTATGATCGTGTTACACATAGACCTGTCCTACCACGAATTAGATTCATCTTGTTTTTATCGTTCCGTATCTGTTAATTTTGACCTAGATTTTAACACAGGTTTGAAAATACCATTGTTTAAATTCATCTCATTACGAATGTACAGTATATCGATTGTGAAACACACAAATGTTATAGAAATATGGCATTAATGTTGCCTTTACATTGTAATTTGTTATTTTGTAGATCTTTTAATAAGATATAGTTAAAATGATAATATCGTTACTATGTAATAGAGTATGATGTGTTCTCTTGTTCTCTGACACAACAAGTTAAATAAGTTATAGCCAGCTGCCAGCAGGTGTTGTTTCATTTGGTACATCCATGTCAGTTTTAGTATACCTTATGTAGTTCCAAATGGACTTCGCCGTTTACATAATTCACAATTGTTTGTAGAACCTACTTCAGCGACAAGCGGCTCATACCGGATGTATTACCGTACTACCCTTACTGGTACAGCCCTACTGCTAATGTTCCCAGGTCTGTTATGGAGGAAATGAAACTCGAGATCATGCAGAAGGACGCAACAATCAAAGTACGTCATATATACATTGTAAACTACCACTTATCATCCTATCACAATTCCAATTGGAGGACAATCAGGTCGACTGTTATTTGATTGAGATATCAACTCATTCATGTTCTTTCTTTCGTTTTTTTTTTTTTGGGGGGGGGGGGGGGGGGGGGGGGGGGGGGGTCATATATAGCCTAGAATTTGGTAACTATTATCAACTTCAGATGAATTTTGTGCTGTGATGTTGGGCATAATAATAAACGTCTTGGTTCATTTATACATATTTTTACGTGATTCTCATTACTTAAATAGCTATAATTTGAGTCTAAATCTATGTTTTTGTTTTATTTATATTAAACACTTGTAATTGATACAGACAATTACGATATATAATTATAAATATTAGCACTTATACTGATTTCGACTTCATTCAGATGCTGAATTCCAGAATTCAAAGCTTGGAAAGCCTATCAGGTCTGAAACAGGCGCGCATCGAGAAATTACAAGCAGAGGTGAATGATTTCACCAGAGTGTACTACGTGACAGATGATCGGAAAATCGTCAGATAAACTCAACCCACAAAAAAATCACTGGACAGCCTTATCATAATTGATTTAATATTTACATTCTAACAAAATACATTTACACTGTTTATTGTAAGCTTTAAATAACGGCTTATATTGATTGTGACATATAGTTATAAATATGTTAATTCATATACACAGCGGTTGAGCTATGCCCTGAGATTACCTCGTGGTGTGATCACGGAGGTAAATAAAACTGAAACACTATCTTATCAAATAACATATAGGTACTTAGCAACAGAAAAAGGATTTTACATGGTTGTAAGTTATCCAACCAGTTTTTTGTATGTCAGTATATATCCGAAACTACTTTAATAAACACTTTCGCTGGAGCCGAAATCTCTCGTGAAGTCTCTAATTTACTACATAATCAACATTTTTACCATCAAATAGTAATACTGTGTATACTTTGTCCACACTTGAAGTTTCCGTCAGGGTCACTATTTAATTCTCGTGTACACTGAGTATTATTTTGCTACTCTTTATTATTTATTACATTTTATTTTTATATATTTTATTTCTATATGCATTGTTTACTGTTCAGCTATATCGTATCAATTTATTAATTCATGATAATTATTTACTGTTTATCATATGAGATCTGCTTTATACTTAAACAATAAAAAAAATGTCGCAGACATTTCCTCGGTATGTTTGAAATAAAAAAAATGACTAAAAGTACACAGGACAAAATCTTGGCTTGTTTTGATAGAATAACGTAATTATAGTATTTAATTTAAAAAGAACAGAATAACAAGTTTGATAGAATAGCTGCGAACCACCTGTGGTTGTGTAACTATTATATCGTATCCTTAAACAATAATAGATCAAATCATAATATTCAAACCATTCGCCAAACAATCAGCCTTACCTTGTTTCAGAAAAGAATTTTTCTAGTCAGATGTTTAATTTTCAGCGTGGCGTTTGTTTGATAAATGAAATAGGTCGCATTATTCTATTATTGTGAAAAGGTCAGAAATAGATTTTTCGAACGTCGAACATTGGTCTAGAATGGCAGATAATGCATAATATTCACAAAAATATCTCTGATTTCAAACAAATGATTTCAACGTGAATATTTCATAACAATACCGAGATCTCGTTCTTAAACTTTATTTTTCATCTGAATCGAAAATACCTTGAAAACGTGATATTTTTAATGATAATGCTGTGATAACACAGATCGCTGAATACATATCCCATTAAGAGATGTGTGCCTTAGTATCTAAACCTTGGTATGGGGATTCATTATCAACATCTTAACAACTTTATTAATATTATCATCAATTATTTAGATTTAACGGAAGTCACATGGACATCGTCTATACTCAAAATATGTATTGAAAGTTATTATAACAGTAACAAGGAAAGTTATAATAAATAATTTTTAGTTTATATTTTGTTCTACAATAATCATGTTAATATACGTCAGGATACATTATTACAATATCAGTGTCCTCCCGACTTAGAAATAGGACTTCATTGCCCTAACGAATCTTCTCATTGTGTAGACTGGAGAGATAGAAGTCGTCGTTTTATAAAGCCGTTACCCAGAAACAGCATTATACATTGTACTAATAACATTTGGTGGTGATTACTACTAACAAAACTATTACGTCATGTAAATAGTGTGTCTTCATTATAATGTATGCATTGCTACTGTATTCAGACTCTTCGATACCTTGCTGTAAAGCGTTTTTCTCAATTAAACTTGTTAAATAAATATTTAGTTAATGATTTGTCATTTTACGGTCATATACATTGTTTCTCAATCGTCAGTGATGTACAAGTTATTTCCCCTTCTGGAGAACCAAAACATAACATGGAATGAGGGATACTGAACCAAACATTTAATAGAACCTTACTATGGTACTTATATATACATTTGAATGTATGCAGGGTAAAATGGTACCTGTTTATGGACACAATGGAGTGAGCTGTACTATGCTGCGGTGCGACGTATACAATGAAATAAGTGATAATTTATTGGGGTAGATACAGTATATAAAAGTATAATGAAATGAGTGGCTCTCGATTGGGGTAATTACAGTAGTATGAATAACACCTTACTCGATAATAGATATATACAATGAAATTATTGGCACTTTACTGGGATAGAGATATATACATACGTACAGTGATATTATTGGCATTCTACTTGGGTACAGATTTACCCTAAAAACTGGAAAACAAGCCAACCTAAAAAATTAGCCGATCCAGAATATACACCTGTAGATCATAATATAAACATACATGTTTAAGCCTTTTATTAAATAAAATACGCCACGACTTCTTTTCGATTTTTGGGGTTAGATTATGAAATGTGTGGCACTCTATTGGAGAAGTGATATATACAATGAAATGTGTGGCACTCTATTGGAGTACCGATATATACAATGAAATGTGTGGCATCCTACTAGGGCACTAAGATATACAATGAAATGTGTGGCAACCTACTGGAGTACTGATATATACAATGAAATGTGTGGCATCCTACTAGGGTACTAAAATATGCAATGAAATGTCTGGGTACTAAAATATGCAATGAAATGTCTGGCACCCTACTGGAGTACTGATATATACAATGAAATGTGTGGCATCCTACTAGGGTACTAAAATATACAATGAAATGTGTGGCATCCTACTGGAGTACTAAAATATACAATGAAATGTGTGGTACCCTTCTGGAGTACTGATATATACAATGAAATGTGTGGCATCCTACTAGGGAACTAAAATATACAAGGAAATGTGTGGCATCCTACTGGAGTACTGATATATACAATGAAATGTGTGACTCCCTACTGGAGTACTGATATATACAATGAAATGGGTGGCATCCTACTAGGGTACTAAAATATGCAATGAAATGTCTGGCACCCTACTGGAGTACTGATATATACAATGAAATGGGTGGCATCCTACTGGAGTACTGATATATACAATGAAATGTGTGGAATCCTACTGGAGTACTGATATATACAATGAAATGTGTGGAATCCTACTGGAGTACTGATATATACAATGAAATGTGTGGCACCCTACTGGAGTACTGATATATACAATGAAATGTGTGTCTTTCTACTAGGTGTCTTATAAGTCTTAGTTATAATGGCAACTGTGTTAATATCCCCAACTCTGCAAGCCACAGTCTTGTCATCAAACGTCGGCTATGGTGCTCTCTTGATGCCCGTGTTTGTCCACAACATCTCATTGGACGTTTCTAACATCCCGATACTATAGTATCTTTGGTCAACCGCAGTCTAACACGAGAAAAACTATTATCATAAGTCATAAATGATCTCCTTGAACTCATTCACGAGGTATGGATCGACTCAAGGCAATTCACCAAATTGCAGTTTAGGCGCCTGTCTGATTCAAACTGTTATGCATGGACTGACTGGTCATTGAAACCGTTCAGGATGATGTGTGGCATGTGTGAATCTGCACTTCTTTCAGCTTTTGGCCAGAGTTTATGTTTGCCAGATATATTCCTCTACTTTAGAGCAAAATTTGGAAAATTAAAACTAACTTATCGTGGAATGAAATGGCTGTCTTAACAAATCTGTCCCGAACCTCACTCTTAAGATTTTTCACAAAGTTGTAGATATTTTTAACACAATAACTGTGCCCAAATTTCTTATCACTTCCCATATCTCACGTGAAGAAGCCCTTGCACATTATTGGGCATTTTGATGTTCTTTATGGTTAGTTGCAAGACAGTGACGATGTCATAATAGACAGAGGATTTAGGGACATTTTAGATGTCCTTGCAGACAGGGTATAGTGACAAATATACCGTCATTCTTGCCAGCTGTCAAATCACAAACTGCCACAGTTCAAGCAAACAAATATCGTTTGTGCACAAACACCAGATGGGTGGTTGAATCGTACTACGGCCGTTTAAAGAGGTTTGTGTTTTTCAGTGACTAACTACCATAATATTACTTCATCCAAGATACTGATAAGCTGGTCCGCATTGTTACAACATGCTTGCAGAGGACCAGTATATTAGCCTAACGGCGAAACATCAAGATGGCACAACGCTGGCTTGTACGTGTGAAAGAAGACAATCTCCTTGCAATGAGGGTTGAGGACGATCTATTAATGTCGCGCAGAGCAAAATCAGAACGGAAGAAGTTGGAAACATCCTCAGATGAACTTGGAATACCTGGAGACGATTGCATGCGGCACATATCAGATCAAGCTGTCGCCTGGTTACATTTCTGAGCACCAAACAGAATGTGGTGACTATGAAGTCTGGGTGTGCAAGCATGTGTATGATCTTGTTCTGAACACAAGTCTCAAACCAGATATAATGTTTGGATCCAGTTGACGTGAATGATCCTGACGATCAAGTGAAATATTATTGTATCTGTCCTGCAGGCAAGAGAACATCTAGTATGTGTGTGTACTCATGTTGCTTCGATTCTATTTATGATATTACTTGCACATTCAAAAATAACATTTTTTGAAGTCTATACATTGAAACTATCTGATAAGAATGAATAAATATACCCACGCAATGTAAGAAGTAATTACATAACCAGGTTATAGATATTCTCTTTTGATCATCAGTTATTGGCACTTTCTCCAGACATGGTAATGTCCACTTCACTTATTTATTCAATATTCATAACCAAAAATTAGCTTTGAGAAAAAGTTGTAAAGAAATTATATTAAAAGGATCGTTTATATGCCTTTAAAACGAAACTATCATCTTCTAACCATGCAATTTCTTGAAATATAGTAGCTTTGCTCAAGCCTTTAATAGCCAACTTTATCGGTTCCCATTTGATTTTGAATTTTTCACTGTATACACTTCAGATAATGGGCCAAATAATATGATAAAAATATTTGGTGCACTGAAAAAAGGATTTTTTTCTTTCAACAGAACTTTTCTTATCTGAGAAACTGTTGAAACAAAACGTTTGACGTGGAAACTTGCAGCATAATCTACTTATTCAAAATCTTATTTCATGGGTAGTCACTCAAGATGCTACAAATATCGCCCACTTTTATTTAATTTGGCGCTTGGGCAAAATTCCAATGCTCCTACAAGAAAATATTTACAGCATGATTGTGAGGCTTCGGCTTCCGGTACTTAAGTCGGTTCTGAAAAGTTTGAGAAGTCACAACGTGAAGCAGCTCGAAAGTTACTAATTTATTGTCGTATTCAGTAAGCCATTAATAAATCAACTAACGCAGAAACTGGACATGTATTACTTTCGAATACGGGAACGAAACAAAATTTACGATTATTGCTCAAAATAAACAGTCACCAGGCTCCATATTACAATACTTTACATACACGGTAGGTCTATTATCCCCTAATACAAGGTGACAATTCGACATCTTCTAACAAATAATGATAATTACATATGTATAAATATAATCCTGACTCTATCTGTTAGAAACAAATCCTGTTTGCCTTCCACTTTAAAAATATGGAATACTTTAATGGAAGTTCCAAAAGTTCGAACTCCTAATGATTCAATATCACAAATCACTGCAGTAATAGCCCAATACAACGGCATGGAGCCTACAGTACAAGGGAAGTAACTGCTACACGTATACTTGTCAGTCTAATGTTGTTTATTTCGAATGAAGTAAATTGGATCATTATCGATATATACTAGTAAATGACAATTTTCAGCACATAGTGGCGTTTAAATTACCGAACCTGCTGCAATACGCGGCAAAATAGTCCGTTTTCTCTTATTGAATATTTTAATAATTGATAACATGACGGAAACATCAACATTCTTGTAAGCCTGGATAAAGCTCTACCGAATGAGAGAAATTGGACACTACATATAACAATATAGGAATACATCTGTGGCTGACAAGATCCTGATTGAAATGAATAACAATGAATTTAATGACCATGTTTAATTGATGTATCCCTGAAGATCACATAGTTTCATTAACGTTCTACGCAGTTCAGATGATATTTACCGGAAGTAAACAAAATACATGAGTGTAGTAATATAATTTGCATTCTGGGATTGTTCGTTGCTGAGAACAACAAAATAGTAGGATTTCTTCGAGAGCAGACATTTGTACTCTTTTTGAAAGAGGTAATTTTGAAGTTTAAAGGCCATCAGTATTTGACAAAACTGAATTTATCACTGTAATGACCTGATTTGTGTCCTACTGACAATACAGTTCGTTTTGGTTTTTGAATTATGACATATTGACACCAGAATTTGGTGTTCTGACCAGCACGTGATTCTTCGGTTAATTTATTGTATCTTATTTGTTTTTTACGAATCTTTTGAAAGTAGTCTACATTGATTATTACCGAAAATGAGTACGACAGATTCGTTGGACGACGATCAACTGGAGGCTCTTTATAGCTGGATCGATAAAATACCTTTATCAAAACCAAAGAGGAACATCTCTCGAGATTTTTCTGATGGTGGTATGTATCATGCAACAGGCCCGTGCCATTGTCGTTTTTTCTCACACTTTACTTGAAGATTTATTATCATAATAACAAGAACAAATGTCTAATTTCTTATGTTTTACAGATTGATTACCTTAAGGTAGCAGTAAACAGTTAATTTGCATTTTTCCTGAAATTATTTGTCATGTTTGAGATATACAGGTATAGCAGATTGGTTATGAAAAATACATCATTACATGTATATATATTTATAAACTGTATAACAATTACATTAACAGTAGAGAGATGAAATTTGTGTAAAAAAAAATTCCTCTGATTTCTGACATTTGATTGTCATGGTTACCTACTGAAAAAATGCTAAAAATGCAAAAATACTGCTAATTCCAATCCAACACTACAACTTTCTAGGAGAAATTTAATTCTAATCACCTATCTTACAATCAACAACACTGTCGTGGTAACAAAGTACTTACATTTCAGCACTTTAAATTCTTCAAACATGACCACATGTAAACACTATGAAAATTTCACTTCCTGTAATAACACAGAACAAATAGTAATCTCCAACACAAAGCTTTCTTAACATGACAGGACCAATGTTTTTTTTTTCATTTTTAATTAAAACCTTTATAATGGGGTAATCTAATGAGCAAAAAAATCACCCATGGCCACACCGAGAAACTGTGTACTGCTACCTAAATTAGGTGACACAGCCACGATCACAATGACCACAGTCAAATGTGCTGCCAAAAGTGGAAAGGAAACTGAACTCTTTTCTTTTTTTTTTGTCTTTCTATTTTGTTACCATGTCTGCCATTGCATATCCTGCTCTGAATCAATGTCATATCTTGACAACCTCTCATCTGATATGGTTCATATAGATATGCTATATTATTGTAACCATGGTTAAATACTAGCTTCAATATAGCACTCAGTTAGAGAGAACTTGATCTCTTAATCTCAATCATTTGAGAGTAAGTAAATCAGTGGTCTTGGGTTTAAATCCTAGCTGAGGCATTGATATAAATAATTGCCTTAATAATACTGGCACCCATATAGGGACTCTGGAATAATGCCTAGCCATGCCCTCTGTTTCTTAGCCATGCCCTGTGTATGTAACCATGTTCAAATACTAGCTGCAATATACTGATTGGCTAGAGAGAACTTCTCTTTAGCTCACTTGATTGAGCATAAGACTAGTAAGTCAAGGCCCTGGTCCCAGGTCCAAATCCTTACAGAGGCATTTATATATAATGACCTCTGCTACAGTATCATAACATCAACTTTACATCCATTCATAATAAGGTAGTCATCTGTCAAAGTAAAAGGTTCAAAGGTCATATTTGACAACTTGCAAATTCATCAATTATTATACTTAGATATATAGGATTGGAGGAATTCATGTGTTACATATCTATAATTCTAGTTTATGATAGTTTAGTGTATGCCAGTATATACACAGTACAGTACATACCAAAGGTATCATTTTGTCTCTTGACTCAGATGTTTAGCACTAAAATGCAAGTACTTAAAACCAACAAGGATAAAATGTTTGTTCAGAGGTTTATAATTGCTGTTTTTTTCTATAAAGCCAAAAAAAAATCATTAAAAAAATTGCTCTAATTCTCGCACCAGTGTGATTTACGTGCTTACGCACTGTACACATACATGTATTCATAAAATTATTCATTTGAGATACACATAGTTTTTTCCAAAGATCATACATATCAAATTAACATTCTTTGATACTTATTAGTTTAACCTTCTATAAGATACCAACATATTTCCTAGATTTTGTGACTCACATTCCTCTTTTCTGATTTTGTTTTGCAGTTTTGGTTGCAGAAATGATAAAATACTTCTTTCCAAAATTTGTGGAACTACATAATTATAACGACGCAAATTCTTCAATGAACAAAAAAGCAAACTGGTCATTACTCAATAAGTAAGTATAAAACCTGTTCTTAATTCATTGGATTTAATATTTTCTTTAAAAAGCAGTAGAAATATCTTGGATCAATTAAGATGGCAGTGAGAAGGCATGTTGTACTCTTCCAGTGTATACAATGTATTGTACCAACATTCCATGGAGTTTCAATTCAAAATCCCATGAGTGATTGTGCAATATTCTGCAGTTCAAATCTTAAAAGACCCGTTGAAAATCATCACATATTCTACTTACAAAAATATTTCCAGATTTATGTAATATTCAAGCTTCCAGATTTATGTAATATTCAAGCTTCCAGATTTATGTAATATTCAAGCTTCCAGATTTATGTAATATATTTCCAGATTTATGTAATATTCAAGTTTGCAGATTTATGTAATATTCAAGTTTCCAGATTTATGTAATATTCAAGTTTCCAGATTTATGTAATATTCAAGCTTCCAGATTTATGTAATATTCAAGTTTCCAGATTTATGTAATATTCAAGCTTCCAGATTTATGTAATATTCAAGTTTCCAGATTTATGTAATATTCAAGTTTCCAGATTTATGTAATATTGAAATTTGAAGTGGGTACATACTGTAGATATATAGGATGTCAGGCAAAAATGTGTTCTTCTCTAGTTACTATGCTACACATACCACAATGATATCTGTACTTGAACAATGATTTGAAAACATTTAAGTGTATTTCACATCTTATCTCTACAATAGACATCAAAATATAGGTTCAAATCTGAAAATGCTATTCAACGGAGGGGACATTCCAACAGAAACTCAAAACATCAATATACTATAAGTGTCCTCTCTCTTGACACATGATTTCATATTGGCATAAATAACTGTAAATATTGGCATGAACAATTGAAGTGAATACAACAGCTTCCAACCACTTTGTTGTCAGATTTCTGATGAAGCTTAAATTAGCAATAATTTACATTTTGATTATTTTTTTTATGTTTTTGCTAAAAGTATGTGTAACAATTTGATACATATTGTTAAAAAATTTCAGATAAATGCACTGAATCTAGTGCAAAGCTAATCGATAGTTTACATAACAACATCTTGACATATGTACCCTCCAGACCATGTAGAGGACAATAAGTATAATTTTATCAATATATAATTGCTACCACTACACCATATTACCCTTGTACTGTACCAGGAACCCTTTTAGCAATCCCCATATTATAGAGTTCCATTAATACTCCTAGTCCAGTGTATAAGGAATGAATATTGAACATTTTAGTTAATAATTGAAATGTGTAACATATATAAAAATTGTACTTTGAAATTGAAAATCTTGAATCTGGTGTAGAGAATCAAAAATCTCATGTATTGGAAATACATTAGATAAGAACAATTTAAAGTGTTTGTTTGCATTGATGTACAAGTATACTATCACCACTGGAAACATGAAATAGATAGCCTCTATGTCATTTCCCTAGATATATAAGGCAAACGAACTGAAATTGTTTCTCCATTAATGATGCATGGTATGTATTTTTTCATTAGAACATTTCACTGCTAATTAATCTCGCCCTTACCACTTTATTGAAACTATTATCAATAATTTGTATGATTTTCTAGCAGTCATCAACTTGCTCATTTGACAATTGTAATTTATCAATGTTAAAATCGAAGAACAGGACATCCTTTTTTGTGATGATTGATGATTTATTAATAATATCAATTTTGTAGAGGTGGTTATTAGTACATACAATATACCTATCACATTAACAGCTGATCATTTCATTTTTTATATAGATTACTTGCTCTCTGTGTACTTAAGTGTTTGCTTCAAGTACAAATAGTATGGTTCAGTGTCAATACCTGCTTATTAGTCCCCACTGGGAAGTGGAGGAGACATTGGTTTTGTTTGTGTCTGTCTGTCCTTCTGTCCTAGCTTCCATCCTTCTATCTTTTCTGGGCCCTGTCTCCTACACTTTTATAGTCACTGGAACGCTATACTTGGGGTATGGGTTCACCTTGGTGAAGCAGCATATCTGTAGGGTACTGTAATTTTGCTGAATCATCTTGTTGTAATTTGGAATATGTGTAGACATGTATAACACTGACATGTCTGTCAGCACCTACTATCTATGTGAGGCATGCACTTAATGGAATCAGTTGCATCTTAGTTACCATTGTGTTGGGTTGTTCAAATCCCCTTTAGACCATGGCCTGACATCTTTTATCTAGACCTTTGTCAATCCATCTATCCTTAGCAGTTTTTGTTTTTCCTATTTTGGAAAGTTCAAGTTGTAAAATTTTCAAACTGTAGATTTGCCCTTGTCCCTGGTTGTGTATTATTTGATTTTGGGACTGATTGAAAAAAAAACAAGACGGCAGGCAGGTAGCCATCTTGGTTTTTGGACAGACAAAATTTGTTATCATTTCTGGATCAGTGGACGGATCTTTCCCAAATCTGCTTTGTATTTTCCTTATAGTCCCATGTTGTATCCTTTTGATTTTTGGACTGATCAGCAAAAAACAGAATGACAGACAGACAGACTTCTTCGATTTTGAGTAGGAACCATTGTTGAGAAGTACTGTATGGATCTTTTGTTCTACATGTGTCGTAAACTTTTAACATTTTCCACTTCCTCTGGAAAATTCAATTTATTTTTCAATGAAATTTTATGAAAACCCTCCATGGCTAAATGTGCATCAAAATTGTAAATTATGTGGTCCTCAACCCCCAGGGGCCTGAGTAGCAGGGCCAAAATAGATCCAGTTGATTGAAACTTGAAAAATCGTCTTTTCAATTTCCAAGTATGATTGAAACAAATACTCTTCATGGCTGGAAAGGCCTTCAGATGCTTTACCAACATTGTGAATTGTTCATAAAGGAAATCTACATTTTTTAACATTATTTGTTTATTTTCTATTGGAAATACTTGAAACCTAATTATAATTATTAGTTTAAAACAACTTTTTATTGTGATGCACATATTGACCTTGACTGACCCCCAGGGGCTTATGGGTGGGCCCATAAATGGGTCAAATTGACTGAAATTTCAAAGATGTTCTATTGTTCCTGGATGGAAGATTTTACATTGGAAAACTCATTAGAAGCCTTAGCATGACACAGCAGTTATGCACAGTTTACATTTGCATTATGTGTACAATATAGTTAAAATATATTACATTTAAAAAAAAACTCATTACTATGACATGTTACAAGAAGCATTGTTATACAGGTAACCATTAAGGCCTGTTGGCCTCTTGTTTTAAACAGGCTTTAGATGTGACATTTAGGGAAGAAACCTGACAACAGGGAAGTTTATAGCTTACCTGGTACTTTAAAACAGAAATAAAATTCTTTTTAGAAGCAGTTTTCTTGATACAGAAAAGTTCTACATAGTTTAATTAACGCCTCTTTGATTTTTTTTCATTGTTACAGTAAAGTTCTAGTCAAACGGTTTCATTTTGAGTTGGCTGATGAGGTGGTAAGTGACTTAATTCAGGCAAAACCATTCACCATTGAGAAAGTGCTGATTGAACTGAAATCAAGGATTGATAATAAGTTAAAAGAGGAGCGTATGGAGCCCCCACCCCCACTCTCCTTATTAAGGGCCAAGGAGAGTGACCAGCCCGAGGCTGACCAGTATACAGGTGTGTGATCTTTTGTATGCTACAGACACAATGCTCAGTTGCACTATTCTAGCTGTAGCTGTTTAAAGTTGCAAGTTTTTACTGTGTGGAAATGTGTTCCTGAATTAAAGGTTTGATATATCTGTTCATTGAAGTGATACACATAGACAAACTCCAAATACATAAAAAATGAGTATTCACCAAATATTACCATAATGATATTCCACCCAGACTAGTGAGAAAATGGTTATTATCTTTATTATTGTTTAGTAATCTTTTTACATTTTGATACACAACTTGTTCGATCGTAAATTTTTCAGCGTATAAAAATTGAAATGGAGAAAAGTACTGTTAAGATACTCTATTTATTCTCTATGGATACGTTTGTGTTTATGTTGTGTTTAGGAAGGAAAGGCACCAAAGGAAAGAACCTACCACTTAAAGCACCACAGTAAGTATCAATACACTCTACTCTCACTGAGAAAACAAGCATGCTTTTGTTGTTGATAAACTATTAATAGATAAAATTTCATTGTACAATTTTATTTTTTTATTTAAGCAATACTATCAAAATAATTATGGTCTTAGAAAATTAGTTATCATGTAATTCTTATATCAAACATTTCACATAGATATGAATGCATCTTGATTTTTGGCTTATTTTAATCTAACGGTCCTTCTACAAGTTTCTGAAAAACATCTTATGACATCCTCCATATCCAAACATGTTCCATGGTTGTGATTTTTAATGATTTCCATCTTCCAGGGATTTTAGAAGCTGGGACCAGAGTCATTTAACTTGCTAGTTTACAACCTGAAGTAGTTTTGATCTCAACCAGAATTAATTTCTGTGCCTTCAGTTATGATGACTATGGTGATTAGTCCTATGTGTCTAAAGTGTTTTTTCAGTCTTTGAATATTCTAGCTTAAACCATAAGATGAATTTATTTTATTGTTAAAACCGATTTCAGGGAATTGCCTCCACCACCATTTGAACGAATTACTCACAAGAATCTTGGAAGGTAGATTAATGTCCCTTACCGTTTCTGTCCTTGTTGTTGTATATTGTTGTTGTTGACATTGAGACCTCTCTGTTCTGTGTATCCCTGAACACTCTGGGCAAAACATACCACACAAATATATGTATATACAAGCTTTTCTCTAACCAGTGTTTGTTCCTTTATATTTAACAGAAAGTTATTAATCATTCCTGCACTTATGACTTTTTTCCTTAACAGACTGATTTCTTTACATTTTATACTTTTTATTTGGTGTTGATATGATCATTGTGGGGAATTTCTTATCTACAAAGTTTTTTAAACATAAATCCTAGCTGACAAATGAAATAAAGTCTATAAAGACACTGTCCAGCAACTGTTAACACATTGTCTTTTGAATAATTGGTAATTTTTACTTGTGACTAATACTAATAAATCCTGATCTGTAAGAGTCAATTATGCTTTGTCCGTGACGTTAAAACAGTTCATATTTGAGTAGATTAATAGAAGACATGAACTTAAAATGAAAAATTTTACATTTTATTGTATACTAGGTTAAAAAATTCTGAATATGAAAATAATTTGATATGCAAGCAAATTACATAGCAAATTTAAACACCTAAGGAGTAATTTGACTCCCAAAATGAGGGGAAAATATATGATATAACATCAATTTCTAAACCAACTAGATAGAATGTTAACATCAGGGATCTGATCAGGCTAAAAATTATTGCCTTTGCCAAACTGTCTTGATTTTGGAAGTTTAATAGAAAGGGGAAATGGAAAGTACTGTTGAATTTGACATATCTAGGTTCACAAATTATAATAGTTCACAAAAAACGAAACTGAATATCTCGGGGCAAAAAACAAGAAAACATAATTGTTGAAATATCTAGGAGTGTGGGACAGCATTATCAAAATATAGAAGGTGGAGGTTAGACTTAATGCATAAATGAAATATAGGTTTTATAGCATTAACATACACGTATACCATATTTTTCTGAGACTAATATTTAGGGAGATTTGTTTGTGCAAGGCACATTTCGCAACATTTCCACTTAGTTTTAAAAATGAAAGTTAAATTTAATGTCATGATGTAATAGGGTACAAATGTATTTTAGTACTTCAATACAGTAGAGAGTTTGTATCAAGTAAAAACCATAGCTGTATTTGAAATTTTCTTTTCACTGTTAAAACTGAGTTTTTAAATGAAAAGTCTGTTTACATCTGAACACTTTTGAAATACACTGCTGTATGTTGCCTCTACATGGTAAATGGTAAAAATGAATTAACTAACTAACATCAAGGACAGTAACAACAATAACTGATTGAGTACCCCCACAATATCACATAAACACATTTGTAAGATGTACATGTCAGAAACATTAATACAGAGTGTTTTTATTGTGAACATAATTTTCCTGCCCCATGTCAAAAAAGTTTGAAGAGTCACTATCAGAGTGCAAAAACAAACCAGTAACCATGTAAATATTCTGTGTTACATTTCAAATGAATGCATGGTTAATTTGTGGAAATTCCACTGTACCCCCTCTGGCATCTGGAAACTTTGATACACACATTGTAAATTCATCTGTGATTTTGATTAGGATTCTTTTTTATTTCTTTATTTAATCCAGGAAAATGCATGTGTTTCTTACTAAGCTGTTTACTGTATGTATACACTGCAGCTCTGTCACCACTGCTACAATGTCTGTTTGTCTGTTTACTTTGTATTGCACTGTATTACAAAAGGATGCCAGCATGATCTAAGGTGTACTTTTTCTTTTGTAATTTATTTTTCAATTGTCTTTTATAAATATGTACAAAGTGTAAATATGTCAACATAACATGAACTAACAGATTCCTGTAATTTATTATGAGTTTTACTTTAATTCTTTGTATGTTATCCTTACAGGTTGATCTTTTGACAGAAAACATCTCAGATTAATAAATAATGATTTTCCATATCTAAAATGTATTGACTTTAAAAAAACACAAATTCATACATCTTATTTGTTAAATATGTATGATTTGATATTTAATTGGTGTTGTACAGCACATAACAAAGATGCATGCAACTTTTAGAAGTCAAAATCACATTACAGTCACATATATATGAAAAGTAGCAGGCAATTTTTTTCCTGGTATTAAATTTGTGGTTAAAGCTTATCATATGTATGTTTTAACACCAAATATTAGCCAACTTTCATTATTTTTCACCTTAATGGCCATATAAGGCAAAACAGACAACCCAATATAGCATCGCATCATTAGATCTAAATGTTTTATAATGACCATGAGTTAATGTATAAATTGTTGACCTTGTTATTATAGTAAAGATCCCATCATGACAGAAACAGCACCACGACGTCAACAAGGTAGATCGAAAAAAGACAATGAGTTGTCTTATATGTACGAGATGAAAGAACAGGAATGCCTTGCCAAGGAGGAGAGAATTGCGGTAGGTAGTCTCAGGATGATGATGGCTAGTAGGTATTAGGGTATGATGTGGAATTGTAATGTAAGGACCAGTTATCTACCAGGTTATTCAACACCCTTACTGAAGGTTACCCAAAGGATGACATGTTCGGCCTGTACAGAATTAATGGTAAATCACTTTAAGTTCTGCATTAAACTCTTCTCTTCCTACATATTTAAGAGGATTGCAATCAGATTTGGTCTGGAACATCCCTTGGAAGGAAATAATTTCATAAATAGAGTATTAAACCTAAGGCTAAGGGGAGGGCCATGAAATGGGAAATAATCTGAAAATCTGAAACACTTCATTGTATCAACCAACTTTGGTGTAAATAACACTGAGGAGTGCAGTGACTTTATGAATAGGTATGGTTGATTGAGGCTCTGCCATTGAAGAGATATTTTAACTGAATAATATCCAGGTGGACTTCAACCTTTGTTATTAAACATGGTAGTCAGAGTTTTGAAGGTTTGAAATTCTCTTGTTTTATATGTTAGCCAAGAAATGTTCCATTGGATATAATTCTTTAATTGTATCTTCATATAACTTATTCCTGATTAATCCTTGATGTTTCAGGCCTACATGCATCACATTGTTAATTGTTAGTTCATTGGTTCTATCTAGATTTATTAAGGATTGTTCAGTTATCGGTGCATTAAAGAGGTATTTCATTCTGTAGAAACTCACAAAAATTATATACAGTATATTAATAAGTCACTTAAATATGAATATAACTTTGATATAGGACATTGGAAGAGCTGGTCCCTACTATTACAGGGGAGTGCCTTTAATGAATTTCTCTGATGTTGTTGTGTCTCACACTGCATGACTTTGCATACTTGACATGAATCTCTGTCATGACTGACTATGTTATTAGTAATGTAGTAATTGTGCTAATTTGTCCCATAGGCACCTTTCACACAGTGAATGTTGATAATGCTTGGACTGTACTATTAACTATTAACTAATGCTGTTGTATCTTGGTACAAGTTATACGATTAAACCACGATTCTATTGATGTGATACATATATTACTCCAGGGACTTGTGTTTGATACAGCTATCAATGAACACAGCATTTAAATATTAATAGAAATGTACCCTAGACTGATTTTTATTGTCAATTCTTAATTGCATTGGTTGTAAACAAAATTGAATGTGAAACATTCCCTGTTGTAAGTTCAATCTAAAGTGGTAAAATATCATAATAAATGCAAGGGTTTCCCACACACCAACTATCTGGAAACTCCTACCCAAACAATAATCGTGATAGTAGCTTATTTGTACCCAAGTGACACATCTATGTTTCCAGTTTTTTGAATGCTTGTTTGTCAGATTGTTTTTTTTTCTCTTTTTCTGATTGTTGTTATTGTATTGATATCTAAATTAATTGCATACGTCACAAATTTGCTGAATTTTGCAATCAACAACAGGAACTTGCTTTGACATGTTTCAAATTCGCCTTGCTTATAGTGTCATTATTAGCTCATGCAGCATCTAGGCCATGTTGTCAACCACTTTTAAACTTCTCTTTTGGTATTATACAATGTTAAAGATGATGAAATTTTGAAGTTAACACACCTCCCTATCTGGTTTTAGACATTTCTTTCTATCATTTTTGTTTTTGTCTGACAATTTTCATGATTTAATCTTTACCACTACTGACAAGTCCTAGAAGGACAAAACAGCTGTATGATCTCAGATCTAAATCTAAATTTGCACTCAAAGGTACTATTCACTGAAGTGTCATTTGTACAGTCTTCTCCTTAAGATACTTGGCTTATACAAATTGTAACTTGATGTGTGGGAGCCAAGAATGTCCAAATGAAAGATGACCTAGTGTTGAGGTCATTCTAATAATAAATGTATCATTTATCCAGTGCCATCCTCATATGACCCTGGTTGTGTTGAGGATGTTAATACAAATATAAAACAATACAAAAACCGTGTAAACAATATATTATAGCATTAGTAAACACTTGGTGTGGGAAGCAGTTAGTAAATATGTTACATTTTGTATATACAGGGAAAAATATTATAAGACAATTTTCTGTAAATTCATCAAGAAAATATGGATAAAAGAAATTTACCCAGAGACTTCTGAAAAAGTACATGTATATTGAAAGGAACTTATCTTTGTCTGTTTTACTGGATGAAAGCATCCATTTTATAATTTTGATTAAACAAAATCAGCTGTATCATATCAACTTTATAATTTTGATGAGATAGAATCAGCCATACCAGATCAGTTCTATAATTTTGATTAGATAAAATTTTCCATACCAGATCAGTTCTATAATTTTGATTAGATAGAATCTTCTGTACCAGATCAGTTCTATAATTTTGATTAGATAGAATCTTCTGTGCCAAATCAATTTTATAATTTTGGTAAGATAGAATCAGCTGTACGGTTTCAAATTATTTACATGCTATGGTTTATTGCAATGAAATTACAAAGTAGAAACGTGGCCAAAACATTTAGGAGACAAAAGCAAAAACGTAAATTTACAGTCCAACAGATCATGGCGAAATGATACATAGAAAAACACTTTTGTTATAGATGAACAACAAAGATTTAGAGAGTTTTGTGAAGTTAGAAGTTTTAAAGGCAGTCAAAAGCTAACATCACGTTTTGACTTTTTGAATATTCATCGGTTGACATTGGGCAACCCAAATACTAGGAATTTCAAATAAGTGTCTGTAGAGACACTACATGTGGCACTGCTTGCATCTTATGTAGTCATCACATTTCATTGCGTTGATTAACTTCTATTTTTATAGCCATCATGCTTTGTCCGTCGTCGGGCGCCGTGCATCGTCTGTAAACTTTTCATTAAAAAAACTTCTTCTCAAATAGTAGAAGGCCTAGGGGGCTAATACTTGGCCCATAGCATGCTAGAATGGAGCCCTATAAAGTTTGTTCAAATGAATGACCTAGACCCACTTTTAAGGTCACAGGGGTCAAATATGTTAAAATATACAAACGACTTCTCCTCAATAAGCAAAAATCCATGAGTGCTGATATTGGGTCTGTAGGATGCTGGGATGAAGGGCTACCAAGTTTGTTCAAATGAATGACCTTGACCCACTTTCAATGTCACAGGGGTCAAATATGTTAAAATTTTTAAACAACTTCTTCTCAACAACCAAAAGGCTCAGAATGCTGATATTGGGTCTGTAGCATGCTGGGATAAAGGGCTACCAAGTTTGTTCAAGTGAATGACCTTGACCCACTTTCAAGGTCACATGAGTCAAATATATTAAAATATACAAACGACTTCTTCTCAATAATCAAAAGTCCAAGAGTGCTGATAATGGACCTGTAAGATGCTGGCATGACATGCTACTGATTTGTTCAAATGAATGACCTTGACCCACTTTCAAGGTCACAGGGGTTAAATATGTTAAAATATGCAAGTGACTTCTCAATAACCAAAATGATTAGAGTGCTGATATTGGGCCTGTAGGATGCTGGGAGGAAGGGCTACCAAGTTTATTCAAATGAATAAAGCCCACTGTTTTAACGGCAGACTCACTATTGTTAGAGTTTGGATTGCTTTTCGTCAGATGATCGTTAAGACCCATTGGCCTTTTGTATAGATGTTGGACGCTAAAAGAAGACAACTCGAACATTTGTTGGATCTAAAGGACACGCATATAACAGAACTTGGAGCACAACTAGAAATGCTAAGACCAACCGGCGGAATAAAATGATTGCATGTTCAATGGAATTACCACCAGAGCTTCCTATCACACCTCATATTTCCTTCATCTTGAGTGTTCTCTAGGGTAAAGTGTAATGAATATAAATCTTAAAATGGAAAAGTGGTATTCTTCTGATTGCTGAGCAGATCAAAGACATTACAATGAGGCAGACAACTGTACACCAGGGACTAAGGAGGTCCCGCTTTCTTTCCCGTCCAATTCTTCTTTACTAATTTGTTGTAAACTGTAGTAACAATTTAGAAAATACCCAAATCAGTTCGGCAGCAGCTTGTGCTTGTTACTGATATGCAACTGTTGATCAACACTATGGTACTTGTCGATGATTTTCATACGATGGATTTTTCGTCTATTATCTGTATAGAATCTTCAGACCAAAGTGCGACATCTAGAAAACTTGGCCTACCTAAAAGATGAGCGGATAAAAGAAATGAAGAAGGGAATTGAAAATTTGCAGTGTGGCCGGAGCGATTTCAAACGATGAGATGTTTTGCCATTCGTTTTATTGGTATCGTGTCACCTGATAGGGGATTTCAACGCATTATAACAATAAACTTCACAGAAAGACTACGTATCTGTAAACACATGGCTTAGCTTTACCAAGGACTTGATGACTGTTACAGACTTTACTCTCAAGTCTTCAGCAGTGATAGTAAGCGATGAGTTTAACAATGAATAAAACAAGTAGATACGCATGAGTTATGCATTTAATCGGACATGTGTAATAGTTTGAAATATGAAATCATAACACATATTTAAGGTCATTGGTTAAGTTTTTTTTACCATTAGTGACAAAAATTGTTCATTTTGATTTTTGTGTACCCAAGTCCCTTAAATTTGCTGACACAGAATAGTGATAGACTGCTGTACAGATGGCAGTTTAAAATGTCCCTGATTAGGAATCTATATACAGTTGTATTATTATTTAATCAGGATACTAGCTAGGTACTTCAAACTTTGTTTGTTTCCCGTCCCTACAACAGAAGTCGTCCCGTAGGTTTAGCTGACCTACCTATGAATGTTTGACATTTTATGGCTTACACTTGTTTCACTACCTTGTCGAGATTGAATTGGTTTTCATGTAAATTGGGTGACATGTACATCTTAATTAATTTTAATTAATTTGACATTCCAAATTTTGTTTTAAAGATTATTGAATGTATACATGTCCATGTGCTCATGTACACGAGTCCCCAGATGTTAAGTCATGTAAAAGACAATTTAATGTTTATGTTACAAATATGGATTGATATTTGTTTATATACAGAAATGCCAAAGCAGGAAATAATTTTTTTTTAGAAATCTTGGAATTACCCCGTATTTTGTAGTTTTCATCAGCTGATTTTCAGTTTTCGAAATATGGTTTGAAATCATTGTTTGATCGTTGTTTAGATTTAAAGCAAATTTTTTATATTGACTTTCAAAGGATGAAAAGGAATTGTTTTCTACCTGATTAACCAAGGCTGATTCTAGCAAGTCTAAATTCCCAAAAAATGTCACCAATTGATCCTTAAAAGAAATTGTTTTTTGAAACTACGCATAAAACAATGCAAACATGGGGTTATTGGAAAAAGAAAACTATAAGAAAAAGATCAGCTCACTTAACTGATTTCATTTTCAAGTGGAGTGTCTGTAGACGGATTCTCTAGTCACAGACCCTGTTCAGTTACTTATGTAGGAAAATTTCACCATATGCTGTATAAATGTTTGTACACCATATTTGTGTTAATTATTGCCAGGATTTTACCATTAATAAATTGTATACAAATAACTGTTTCCAACCCATAATTTCAGTAAGATATGAAATATATGATACAATATCACTTTTTTGTTAATTTATCCAAGGATTTCTGTAAACGTTATGGTCATCAGATTCATCACAGTCAAATCTTAAGAAATACATTACATACTGGTAGTTTGCATACACTTGAAAATTCATTATTCGAAATGATTTTGAATTAAACATGTAGAGCTTTTTATCAAAAGATCAGGATGTATTTCAACTGTGTTATGTAGTGTATAGGTGCACTCCCGCAACATGTTATTGTGATTTAATTATGAGTGGATGGTTTCGATATGTTGTATACAGATGTTTGTAAAGTTTATTTTGATGTCAACAATAAAACATTATTTATGTCTTGCTGTTCTGTTGTTCTGTGTTACATATATTTGTACAGACCTTCAGTAATTTTTTTATTCATTTTCCATGGTTTTATCGATTTAGAAAAACGAGAAGAAAACGACATGTTATCATAACACCTTTCGAGTGGATCTTTGAAATCATAGTAATGTCAAATTCTCAAACGAGAACAAAGTTAGCAATAACGAAACCTCTAGACATACCTACAAGCATTGATAACATCTCACTTACTATAGTGAATGCTGTCAAATGGGATCATGGTGCCGACCATAATACTTTCCACCCACATCTACCCAATCCCTGTGTTGTAAGTTTAATCATAGTATTAGGAACAAGACCTGAATATCAAATCGATATGTGATTGACCTTTTCCCCTTTTAAAGGTCACAGTGGTCGAATGTGTTGAAATCTCCAAATAAAAAAGGTCCAGACTTAATATTAGTTCTTTAACATAATTTTATGATAGTCTTTCAAATTTTTTCCAATGATTGATTTTGACCTACTTTCAAAGTCTCTTTGGTCAAATGAGTTGAAGTCTTAAAATTTCTTTTTCGGCAAGCAATAGGTCCGGAGTCTTGGTATTTGTGTTGTAGCATATGTAAGGAATAGTATTTCAAGTTTGGAGAAATGATCTTATGAACCGACAATGTCTTTGCTGTAAGTTTTAGATTAGTTTATCAATTCATGCCTATTTTGCCTCTTTCATTTTTAGGTCTTTATAGTCCGATGACCGTTGAGGCCCATTGACTTCTTGTTTTTTTTTATTTCTGTAAATTCTGCTTCACGTGAAGGCAAAAACAAGTTGACCATATTTTGTTCCCAAAGCAATAGCAGTTATCTGTTCTAGATTGTTACAACCTATCCTAAAAAAAAAATCACCCCAAAAAAGAAAATACGAACACATCAACATAATCATAATCCAAACTCAAGTTCAATAAAAATATGGAAAAATATCAGTTAAAGAAAACTTTACCCACAGACTCCTGAAAAAGTACAGGAAGAATAAGACTACTTGTTTCGGAAGAGTAGCGTCTTCTGCTTCATGGACGACACCCACTATGCAAATCTTGGTCAATACAAGTAATATATATCAAGTTCTCAAGTGAGAACAACGTACACATCAATAAACTGGCAAACTAATTAGCATCAAACACGTTCAGCTTCATATAGAAAAATAAACTATATTTTGAAAGCGCGTGTTACGACTTTGTCCGTCAGTTGACGACTTCTTGTTCAAGTCATGATTATGGAAGCAGGCCCTTGAATATAGAATCAATTTCGACATCCAAACACCATAGGTTGGAAATGTAGGATTAATACTATTCAGAAAGGGAAAATTCACAATACGGAAGTTAAAATCAATTAGTGGAAAGCTGTTGGTTTGGTTGTAGGAAACGATCAAGATAAGCAGCTGATGTAAAAGAATCACCATCAGTTTGATAATTTTATAATTTCATCTGGATTATATTTCTTCTTGCTATAGACATGCTTTTCACGAAATACGCGTCATTATCGCAACCACATAATTGTACCTTCGTTCATCTTTCTTTGAAAAGAAAGATATCACAACCAGAGAAAGAACGCGTTCCCGAAGTCTGAAGTAGAGTATAGAAGTGTTTAAATGAGAAGGGGAGGGGCATATGTCCGTAGACATATAGAAAAAAAATTTCTGAGGAGAAGATGTTCAAGATCAAGACATGATGACTGTTAAAATTGGTTTGTTGGTGTAGAACGGGAGCGTTGGTATACTTTGAATAAACCGAGAATGAGTAGTTATATCCTAAAAGTGGGAAATTCAAAGGCAGGAAATCATAATTATCGTATAATGTTTATCACGGTAAAGCTTTGTGCGTATTTTCAATAGATTAATCATTGTCTACAGTATGGCTACTGATTCTAGCCATTTCGTTGTTTCATTTTGTGCCCGTACTATAACGACTTTTCCCGTCCTTTCGCTCCCGATAATCATCGCCATTACGCCGCGACATAATGAAAAAACGCCACAACTTAAGTGAAATAACGAAAAAGTGAACTCGCTAATTCATGGGCGAATTTGTTGTCTTTTCACTGCGAATCATCGTTATGTTACCTCATTATTTATCGTCTTTTCAGCGCGTCTAAACGATAATAATCGTTATGTCACCCCGATGTTTACCGTCTTCTCTCCACGTCTAAACGATAATCATCGTTATGTTACCTCATTATTTATCGTCTTTTCAGCGCGTCTAAACGATAATAATCGTTATGTCACCCCGATGTTTACCGTCTTCTCTCCACGTCTAAACGATAATCATCGTTATGTTACCCCATTATTTATCGTCTTTTCAGCGCGTCTAAACGATAATAATCGTTATGTCACCCCGATGTTTACCGTCTTCTCTCCACGTCTAAACGATAATCATCGTTATGTTACCCCATTATTTATCGTCTTTTCAGCGCGTCTAAACGATAATCATCGTTATGTCACCCCGATGTTTATCATCTTTTCGCCGAGACAAAATAATAATCATGATGGAAGAATTGGTACATGTAGGATTTGTATCTGTAAAATCGCTCACTTTAGATATATATATTTTACAAATGAACATGGGTGGGGATCTTGATGACTATGTCCTTGTGTCAGTATAACAAGTATATTGAACAGTTGATATCAGTGCAATATGTCAATCAATGGCAATAGTGAGCATATCTACCTACGTGTCACGGGAGGGATATATCTTGAGTAATATGATACCTATTATATATCTGTGTAGTATCGGAGGTCGATGACATCTACCGATTGATTCTCTTACTAGATCATGATCTCAATAGACAATCCGACATTAAAAGGACTGCTTCAATAAATGTTTACACAATTGTACGTAAATTAGAGGTTGACATGTCAAAACGATTATTCACGAACACTTAAAACAGATACAAAATAATAAATAAGAACGAAATGAAGATAAACAAATACATGTATATATCAAAGTAATAGTAAATCCCTGTATGGTCATCCGATGTGTGGTGTCATTGAGAGACGTAAAAACCTTGTACTTACAGACCTTACTTACAGACCTTAACGACATTGTACCTATATATTAAACAGTATCATTCAGATTTTTAAAAACATGTGCGGTGGGGTCCATTGACAACAAGGTGACGAGGTCACAATGGTCTTGGTCTCAAGAACAATACCGACCCGTCACTCGGTAACAATATACGAGTCACACGGTTTAATGGTATATTATATACACATTATATACATGTACTTTGGATAAGACTGTTATTTGACATTGCTTTGTATTTACAGTAAACGGTCGTTAGTATGTATCCGATCTTTGTCATGTTTTTGTAAATCTGTAGATATGCAGGTAAATATGTTGGTCATACCAGAGTGCACAAATAACAATCGGCCTACTCACACTCTGGGGTAGGAACCAGGTATTCGGATGAACCAGAAACTAACCTTTACCACTTGTGAAAGGGTTTAACTTAACTTTTAACCTTTTATCTTTGGTTTTATCTTTGTATACATGTAGATGTGAATAGCCAATACAAACTAAGACATTCAGATATCCATGTCATTCGATATACCTTACATAGCCAAGATTTTGTAATGAAATGTTGATATGAATATTATATCGTCTTCACTTTATCTTATTTGATATATATAACATAATTTGTCAAGGTAAATATTTGGGTCATGATAAAATTCATTCATTAATGTTATTTGATTTGTTATCTTTATGCCAATAAAAATATGTTATTTCTAAAGAAAATTCAAATAAATAAATAAAATAAATGACATTTGTATAGCACTGTTATGTTACGATATAAGATGCACAAAGGACACACAAGAAAACAGCACCTTTCTTTACAAATTTAGAATCAGACACCGTATAGTCAGATAACCAATTAAACTGTATCATACAGCTGTTTCGACATTTCAAAGTTGTTTCGAGAGTGATCGGTTGTTACGATACAAGATTTTCAACTTGGAACACTTCGATATACATTTACCCGACTATATGGTGAAAGTGTTCACAAGTTATAAAGAAATTCCGTGGATGAATACGATCGCTGGTGAACGATCTATCTTATGCGATACCGATAGTACCAATGGTGTACGTACGCCATGATCTTATATCTCACTGAAACACCTCAACTTCTTTCTTCCTTTTTTGTTTCTTTCTTTCTTTATTATCTGGAGTTACTTCTTCGCTATACCTCTTCCTGATTTTCTAGTTCTGCCATTTTCATGTGTAAAGTGTACATTTCATTTCCTTGTCGTCAAACTACAATAAAGCGATCCTTACATTCTGCAAATTAACATTGTGATAAAACTATGACACACCACTTATTGTTGTCAGAGTCTTTATACAACTGTGGAACAGAGAAAATGTATGAAAGAATAAAAAGAAATACCCCCACCCCCACCCCCACTCCACCCCACCCCCCTTTCTTTCCTTTTTCGGATATTTAAAGATAATGATTAGTTTGACGCTCACATAAAGTCGTATCTTCGTAAGAACATGCCTTTTAAACCTGATTTACTCTGTAAAGAATTCTAGCTGTTATTCCTGACCATACCAGTTCTGTGTCCGTACGTATCCTCGGGTGTGATTCAGTGCCATGTGCAGACTGTCTATTAAATGACCAAACACTCTGTAGTGACGTATAATGACAACATGGCTTTCAGAATACACAAGTTCCATTTGTTATTAGACTTGATATGTCTTTTAACAGGTAAGTGACATTTTTTCCATTTTTCTATCTACTTGTATATAGCTATTGACCTGATTAATTTACCTAAGGGCAGTGTGCTATCAACGTTACCGAATTCAACACTGATTGCCGAGTTGGAGATATTTTTTTGTACGATGTAGTTTGGTTTTACACAGATGAACAAGTTCAGTTTTAAATGTGATTTTATAAAAGAAACAAAAGTGGTTGACACCCTACTTTCAATACAAATACCGAATTAGACACAGCCGTGTCAAATAATAAGATATAT